AATGTGTAACTTCTGTGACCCATCCACAGAGCCGTAAACTGGACGTGTACTTTGAGTACGAGGAGAAGCTGATGAGCAAATCCACCCTGGATAAGTCTTTACTGGACATCATCAGTGACCCTGACGGTAGATGTGCCACTGTGCTTATCTATAACAGAAATCATACATGTGCTATCTCGTGTACTTTGTCAAGGGTCGGAAATACCTGAGATGCTTGTTGATGTAAAGTTTGTTAAACAACAATGTTTTTGTCTTTGTAACAGCGGGAACACCAGAGGACAAGATGAGACTGTTTCTGATTTTCTACATCACAGCCCTGCAGGCCCCTTCAGAGGTGAGGCCTGGCACCCTCTTAACCCTTACCCTTACCCCTTCTAACCTAACCCTATCAAACACATGTATACTAGACTAAACCCTAACCCTGTCCCTATCAAAAACATACTAGACTCAAATCACACATTCTGTCACCATCAAACACCTGCCAAACCAGCCTCAATCACAGGTCAGAGAGGACCCACAATATACAGGCCCCTTTGTTAGGGAACTGTTGATTTGCCTGATTCACTGCAGTCATGTGCAGTATCATGTCTAATGGAACCCAAAAACGGCACAATACCAACCTCAATGGAGACACTTTGTGGCTTTACTGGATGTGGTAGTCTTAGTAACAGCACAATACACAATATGAAAAACCTTGGCCCTGGCTTGGATTTCATTGTTTAGAACACCAAACATCAATTCTCAATTCTTTTTTCATTTGATATTGAAACCAGCTTTTCTTGACAACATTCAAAAGCTTTATTGTTCAATATGACATGTTAGAGCAGATTCCAGGAACATTGATACCATTTGAAGCCGAGGCCAAATGTCATTACTCCCGAAGTCCAATAATGCTAGCTTGTTCTGAGCATCTCAAGGCCCTCTGTATAGGAGGACACCCGGCTCTCCACTATGACTGTGGGTTCTACGTCCCGTCTGTTTTCTTCAGTGAGGTGGCGCAGCTCAGGGACTAGCCTCTTACGGACCCTGCTAAGACTTGGACGACCCTAATACTGGCTCTGCTTCAAGCCCTGTCATCACCACCTCAGTAACCACAGTTCACCACAGAGGAGTGAAGTCAAGTCCCTCCAGCCGCCAGCTCCAAAGCTCTGGGAGGATGCCAGGGCCCGTATTGACAAAGTCTTGAGTAGGAGTGCTCATCTAGGATCAGTTCCCTGCTCGTCCACATAATCATATTCATTATCGTCCAAAAGACTAAACTGATCCTAGATCAGCACTCCTACTCTGAGGAGCATTAATATGGGCCCAGATTTCTGGCTGCGGCTGCAGGCTGGGATCAGCGTTAGGATCAGGCTGTCCTGGAGCATCATGTTGATCAATGGTCTTCCTAATAGCCCTTCTCCTCTGAGACGCCGTTCTATTTTCCCGGCCTGACAGCTGAAGTCAAGCAGGAAATCTTTTTCCACCGCCAACGTCTTGTGGTATTCCTCCTTTCATCTCCGTCCCCCCCTGAACCTGAACCTGAACCCGTCCAGGGCAGATTATTACCATGGGATTACCCTCTCCTCCTCTCCTCTCTGGTCTGTTCTCCAGTCGGTCCAGCCTGTACATTTTAAGGTTATTTGTTTTCCCTGGATGATGTGGTGTAACCTCAGTTTAGTTACATAAAAAAGTGCTTGTCTCGGCCATCATAATGTACTGATGATACCACCGTACACGTGTCACACTTAGCCTCTCACTCTGTTTTAGGATGACGAGGTTTATATTTCTTCAAGCATTTTTAAGTCCCTGTTCGATAAATGCCCTACTAAACCTTGAATGCCTGCTCAATCACTTGTATGTTTTAGCTTGGTGAAAACAGCCATACTGTTATCTTACTGGGGGTTTTCTGTGTCTGTTTCAGACTGATCTGGACCAATACAAGAAGGCTCTGCTAGAAACTGGCTGTGACTTGTCCTCTCTCAACTACATCAAGCAGTGGAAGTAAGACGTTACAAACAAGCAGGCGTTTTCATCATATAATGTTTCATACATGCAGAACCAAACAGATAATAAAACACATTGTTTTGGGTTCTTGCAAGAAGCTTATTATGAAAATGTGTTTTTGCCAGGGCTTTCACAAAGATTGCTGCCACGCCATCTAACTATGGGAACAGCGGTGTGAAACCTATGGGGTAAGAGAGAGAGAGCGCTCTCTGTGTGCATCCCAAATGGCCCCATATTCCCTACCCGGTGCACTACTTTTGACCAGGGTAGTGTACTATGTAGGGAATAGGGTGCCATTTGGGACGCTGCAGCAGAGTTTCCCTTGTTTCAGACCTCATGTATCCTAGTCCCATAGACCTAACCCCCCGTGCTGACCCTGTCGTCCTCCTCCTGTCTCTCCATCCCACAGCCTCTTCTCTAGAGTGATGAACTCTGGCTCCCAGTTTGTCATGGAGGGGGTGAAACACCTGGTGCTTAAACAGCATGTGAGTAGCTTTACACACACACACAGACAGAAATATATACACACACACACAATTATGCACAAAAACACACACATACACACATACAGAATGAGACAGAGGAGAGGAGCAGTCTCATCATGATACTGTCTGTATGTGTGTTTTTAAAATGTCCAGATGTCCCTTGGCTTTGATGGGAAGGTTTTGCCTGGAGACATGTATGATAATATCTCACGCAGCTGCTTGTTGGAGTCAGTCTGTAGTGAATAATTATCTGGTGAGAAAGAACAGAGTTTTTAAAGTGTTTTTCTTTCAGAACCTGCCAGTCACGCGTATCCTGGACAACCTGATGGAGATGAAGTCCAATCCGGTGAGTCTCCTCTTCTCTTCCCTCCTCTCTTCTCTCCTCCCCCTCTACTGTGGACATTCCTCTATGTTTCTGCTTTGTTGCACCATCACATTCAGGAGGGACGCATGCTGATGAATACAGTGGCAACAAGATGGACGACCTGATGGGAGTCTCATGTCTGCAGTCAGAGACTTCTCCAATCATGCCCTGTTCTGTTCAGATCACTTCTGAATATGTGGGGGGGAAACTAGTCATCACAAATAAAGGCAGCAACTGTAGCTAAGCTACTTTGTAAAATGTCAAATAGCTGTCTGTAGTCGTGTACATACCTGTCGATGACCTCACAGTGTAATAGTGTTTAAGTCAAGTAAGTCAGTCGTGTGCGTAACAATTGTAGAAATGCCAGGAGGCTTCTGCTACAACAGACATAGGGGTATGCGTCCCAAATGGCACCCTATTCCCTATATAGTGCACTACCTTTGACCAGAGCTGATTGGGCCCTGGTCAAAAATCGTGCACTATGTAGGGAAAAGGGTGCCATTTGGGAAGCAGCCCAGTGATTAAAAACAGCTCTGTGAGGGTGGCCTGGCCTGCACTAAGGGCTCCATGGTGGTGAGAAACCCTAGCCGCTAGCTGGCTGCAGGGCATTAATGTGTGCTGCCTGCCAGGCTGCAATAGAGCACATGGGCAGCACTGTGGACTCTCATACCTCTCTCTGGGATGGCAGGCACACAGTGAACAGGGAGATTAGGTTACAGCTAACCCAGAAGCTCTCTCTACACTCTCATCTCTCTCAGCTCCTTACCAGCTTACCCTAAAGCAGAGGGAAGGTCCACTTCATTGAAAACCATTCACAAGCCATCCTCTGTGTACTCAACACTACACTTGTTAGTGTAGGCCACCCCTCTGTGGTCTTTGTCTAATGTTCCCTGGATCAGCTGCTACAGCTATAGAGGTGTTACATCAACTTAGTCCCTTTGTGATTACCATCTCTCACAGCTCCATAGACATTTGAAGAAAGATAATATGAACAAACGCTTTTCAATTTCCATTAGCTCAGTTCCATCTTGTGTGAGTGTCCCAGGTGGCACCCTATTCCCTTCAATGTGCCCACAGGGCTCTGGTTAAAAGTAGTGCGCTTTTATAGGGAATAGGGTGCCATTTGGGACTCATCCTGTGTCTCTACAGCCAGGAGGGAGCAGGGATTACGGGATCCTGTTACTGGCTTTAGATGCCCCCCAACCCCTATCCCCACCTCTCCAAACACTGAATTGGACATAACAATATTATCATTTTCTCAGCTACTGGAATTACAGGGCACTGTACAAAGCGCTTCTTGTTCGGTGAGCCGAGAGGGAGAGGGGCACATCAGTCCAAATTCAACAGCCTCCATCCTCCTCTCCCTACCCCTGTCCCGCATCCGATGGCCCTCTTGGACAGGTGTAATCTATCGGTGGTTCTTCTGTGTGAACACAATGCCATTCCTCTCCCAGGCAGGTTTAGCAGTGTGTTCAGGTTTGATATCAGAAGCCCTCTGCTGAACTGCCGCTCCACTGTGGGAGGAAAGACGATAGCACAAAACTCTGGAGCGTCTAGTCAGTTCAGAGAGCAAAGGGAGCTCCTCTTTCACCAGCCTGACTGCAAAGTATTTTCTCTTCTGGTGAAGAATGTGAGTGGGCCACGGCTCTGCCAAATAGAGGTAGATGCGTTCGGTCCATTGGGAAGAGAGGAGATAGACTAGGGATGCATCCCAAATGGCACCCTATTTAGTGCACTACTTTTGACCAGGGCCAATAGAGCTTTGGTCAAAAGTAGTACACTATAAGGAATAGGATGCCATTTGGAACACAGCCTAGACTAAAGACTTGGCTCTGGGTTTAAGGAGGACGTATGAGGGGGAGGAAACTCCACTGACCCTATTTAAGACCAGTTCTGGTAAATGGGACGTTTCTGTTGAAAGCAGGCAGGTGTTGTCTGAATCTGAGTTCAGCCTGAACTGATCGTACTTGAGTCAATTTGTTGAATTTGTTTCACAGGACCCATGCTTATACAGGAGTCATATTTAATAAGAGGAATTGGGTGACCATGAGCAATGGGGGGGGGTTTGGGTATTTCTAGAATTGTCATAAAATGGGCTCTCTCTTGTTGTTCATGTGATGTATAAGTTTGTTGGTGTACTGATTTTATGTTTTTATGATCTGCAGGAGACTGATGACTACAGATACTTTGATCCCAAGATGCTGCGCGGCAGTGAGAGGTAAGACTCCAAGAGCTCCAAGGATAGCAGTTAGTTAAGGCCTCTAAATAGTAACATGCATTTTCTGTGTCTAAACACTCCTGTTCTCCCAACAGCTCAACCCCAAGGAACAAGAACCCATTTCAAGAGGTGAGTCCTGCCATGGTCAGCAGACAGACAGAGACACACACAAACAGGGCCTCCACTAAATCCAGTAACTGCTGTGTGTTGTCCTGGAGCCTAGCTTGGCCTGACTGTGTGACGGGGGGAGCACTAATCTGTGTGTATAATGAACCTAGCAGCCTGAACCTGTCAGTGAGATCTCTCCTTCTGTTTCAGGCTATCGTCTTTGTGGTCGGAGGAGGAAACTACATAGAATATCAAAACCTGGTGGACTACACAAAGGTAAACTATTACTCAAAATTGTGTTAGTTTTTAGTTTTATTAAAACGTCTACATGTAACATTGTGACAAAGTTTTTATTGTATTTTGTGAAACATCTTCATATTTTCAGTTGAGTTTTTATTGAACAATGTGTATTTTGTGGCATCCTTTTAGGCAAAGCCAGGGAAGAGGGTGCTGTACGGATGCAGTGAGCTCTTCAATGCAGGACAGTTCATCAAACAGGTAGGAGGACCACCAGCCTTTGGCTGTGTCCCAAATGGCTCCCTATTACCCATATAGTGCACTACTACCCTATGGGCCCTGGTCAAAAGTAGTGCAGTGAATAGGGAAAAGGCTGCCATTTGGGACACAGACTTTTTGTTGAGTAATATCAATCATTTAAGCCCTAAACATAATATGGAATGATGACACCCATATTGTGGGTTTGTGTTAAATCACCTACACTTCTCAGTTGATCTTAGATTTATTTTAGTGAGATTTTGTTTTGATTGTTTCTCCTTGTTTATATCTCCACAGCTATCTTCACTCGGCCAAAAGTAAAAGCAAGAAAACATATGAACATTTTATTTTCTTGGATTCCATTTCTCCTAAATACTTACAACTGCAATCAAGACCTCTCTAATCGTTGATCATCGTTTCAAGTTCCTCTAGATCCTGACTCTCTCTCTGATATTCCATGTATTTTATAATGTGTACTATACTTACATTGTTTGTTTAAAGGCCCAGTGAAGTCAAAAACATGATTTTCCTGTGTTTTATATTTCCACATTATGAGGTTGGGGAAAATATTGTGAAAATTATGATAATGCCCTTTTAGTATAAGAGCTGTTTGAAAAGACCGCCTGAAATCTTTGCCTGTTTTGGTGGGATGGAGTTTGCCTGCCTGGTGACATCACCAGGTGGTAAATTAGTTAATTGACCAATACGAAAGAGTTCCAAACCTCTCTGCCAATAACAGATAATTTTCAGACCATTCCCAGACAGTCCTAGCAAAATTCTTGCTTGAGAAATTGTTCTTGCTAAGAAGCTATTTTTGTTACTTTTTGACTATTTTTAATTGAAAACAATCCCAGTACAGTACTTAATTGTTACCCAGAAATGATTTGATATTGATATAAAAACAGCTGCATTGGGCCTTTAACTAATTTGCTTTGCACTCTCAACAAATAAAGTTTTAACAGTCTAACTCTACACTGTCTTGCTGTGTAGTGTATCTAGTGTTTCTACCAGGGTTATCCAACGTGTTTAATCTTATTCAAGATCAGGACAGGGTGTTTTAGCAGAGACTTCCTCTTGCACCAAACAAGGATACAAATAAATAATATTTACAGTCTACAAATAGCCCTGTTTGTCTGTTATCCGTTCCCCTTAGGCGATTTGGAGCTGAGCTCGTATGAGCCAAGAAGCCAGTGTCAGTTTAGTTGCTGATCTAGAGTTGTATCATGGAGAACTCACCACTATTATACAAGGTGCTGCTGTTTCTTTTCTATATTGCCCCACACCATAGACTAAGACCACTACCTTGACCAGCTTTAGGTGTCACCAATCAGAGTATGTAGCGGAGTGTATTATTAGCTGACCTGACTTCCGTCGCTAGTGGCTAGCGTTGCATCAGACACTCTCATTAACCGGATCAAGGGATTAGGCTAATGTATGTAGGACACAACCATGCCTGTTCTATTACTGTACACCTGCCTTACATACACAGACAGGGTCATTCTATGGAGAGACTGAGAGGGTGATTCTCAACTCTGTCTCAGTTTGAATTACTACAGAGAATGCTACCATCTACCTAAGGGGTCCCTGGGACACCACTCACTTCACCTCTCCTGGATCAGAACAGACTGGGGTCTTCAGACGGGTGTGTGTGTGTGTGTGTGTGTGTGTGTGTGTTTGAAATGAGACCATCGTAAAAGCTTGGAGGGTGCTGATGGAGGACTCCGACATATTCCGTCCTAATGTATCTGTCTACATGGTGTCAGCCGAGGGGGAGACTGCCATTGGTGTTTACTTGTTGATACTAGGTAATTATTCTGTTTACTTTGCCAAACTGCTATAAACCCATACTGTTGATAATATAGTAGATAACTTTCACAAGATAAATACATGGTGAATGTTATGTTAGTGTTCTTGTATACGTTAGGTAGGTTACTTTCTAAATGTAATCAGTTACTAGTTGCTTGTCCAAAATTGTAATCAGTCATGTAATTTTTGGATTACCCAAACTCTGTAACGTAATCTGATGACTTTCCCGTTAAGAGGTATTAGAAGAAGACATAAAGGATCCATCAAACTCAGACTTGTTCAGGTGCCATAATGTATTTTTTCGCAAACATCCTTTATGAATTTTTAAGTAATCCAAGAAGTAATCATCTAGTTTTTCAAAGTATCTGTAATCTGATTACGATATGTTTACAGGTAACGTATCTGATTACAGTTCTTTTTTTTGTAATCAGATTACATGTAACTGATTACGTGTAATCAGTTACTCCCCAACCCTGTGGGTGACATTGTTATGATATGGTCTAAATAGGATGTTTTTTTGTTTACATTTCCAGAGTGGCTCTCCTGTCTAGGCAATGGAGTGGTGATTCTACTGTTGGTCAAGCAGAGACACAGACTTCAGCCACAAGACTTCCTCACTTTCAATCTGGCTGTGTCCGATGCTGGCGTCGCTATCTTCGGCTACTCCAGAGGGATACTAGAAGTCTTCAACGTGTTCAGGGACGACGGCCTGCTGATCAAGACCATCTGGACCTGCCAGGTACGTTGGTCGGTAGTTGTTTTACCCATATGGGCTTATAAGAAGATTTGTAATGCTAGTTGTTGTTGTTATTATTGAGTTATTATCTTAATGCATTGAATGAGGTTCAAGAGCACTTCATAGATTTACATTGAAAGCATTTTTGACATTATCCCAGATCTTGGGAAATTCAACACAAAACTACATTAGAGCTATACAGATAAGATCAGTACAATTATAACTTAGAATTTCAGGGAGGAATCAAGAGGTGATCCTGATCTGAATAAGCTCAAGGACAACTTGTACAGTAACATATATTTTATATGGTATTGTAACTTAGCATTTTTGACTATTAAGAAATAAAGTATCAGTTTAACAGGAAATTAAAACAACTTCCCTTAGTACTGTTACCGTGGCTACCCAGGACTCCCACCACTCCACTTGACAGACGACTGGAATAAATGACAGAAAGAAAAACATGACATTCCACCAGAGAAGAGTGTGCTTTTATCCTGCATTAGTCAGTCTACCTGGCTTGTACCCTGAGAGTCTGGTTAGTGGGTGATGACACAACACAGTTTGGAAAGATTCCTTCCTCTCCCTCAGGTTGGCAGAGAGCTGCAGGCACTTCATCCTAATCTCTGTGTGTGTATGTGTGTGTGTGTGTGTACGTCAGGTGGACGGCTTCCTGATCATGCTCTTTGGGCTCATCAGCATCAACACACTGACAGCCATCAGTGTCATCCGCTACATCAAAGGATGCCAGCCCAGCTATGGTATGTAGTCTATGCTGTGGCCCTGCCAAGCCTGAGGGCTGCTGGCTAGGTTGGGGCTGAAGCCTCCCCTAGTCAAGTTGCTCAGGGTAGGGCACCCTGGCTCAATGGCAGCCACTCCAAACTCATTAGTCTGCTGCTTCAGGTCAAGGCCTTACACTGTTCAGTGCTCCCTGACCGCCGGCTGGCAAGTTGGCTAGATGTCACAGATGGGACTATTAGAGAGAGAATCATAAATCTAATCTCAGTTGTCCTACTTGTTTTTTGTGAAATCACCAAATCATTTGTTTCTTCCCCATGTTTCGTCATATAATACCATCTCTGTTTAGTAACTACATGTCTTGTCTTTCAGCTCATTATATTAACCAATGTAACGTTGCCGTGGTGATTGTGGCGGTGTGGCTGTGTGCCCTCTTCTGGTCTGGAGCGCCCCTGGTGGGCTGGGGGAGTTACACAGGTAGGACCCTGTCAATGTAGTCTCTGAAATCCCAGACCTAGGGAATCAGCACTAGAACATTGGTTACATTGTGGGCCTCTCGTTCGCTTCTCTGATAAAGTAGATACACTACATGACCAAAAGTATGTGGACACCTGCTCGTGAACATCTCATTCCAAAAACATGAGCATTAATATGGAGTTGGTCCCCCCTTTGCTGCTATAACCGCCTCCACTCTTCTGGGAAGGCTTTCCACTAGATGTTGGAATATTGCTGCGGGGACTTGCTTCCATTCAGCCACAAAAGCATTAGTGAGGTCGGGCACTTATGCTGGAGATTAGGCCTGGCTCGCAGTCGGTGTTCCAATACATCCCAAAGTTGTTCGATGGGGTTGAGGTCAGGACTCTGTGCAGGCTAGTCAAGTTCTTCCACACCGATTCCGACAAACCCTTTCTGTATGGACCTCGCTTTGTGCACGGGGGCATTTTCATGCTGAAACAGGAAAGGGCCTTCCCCAAACTGTTGCCACAAAGTTGGAAGCACAGAATTGTCTAGAATGTCATTGTATGCTGTAGCATTACGATTTCCCTTCACTGGAACTAAGGGGCCTAGCCCAAACTATGAAAAACTGCCCCAGACCGTTATTCCTTTACAGTTGGCACTATGCATTGGGGCAGGTAGCTTTCTCGTGGCATCCACCAAACCCAGATTAGTCCGACGGACTGCCAGATGGTGAAGCGTGATTCATCACTCCAGAGTCCAATGGCAGCAAGCTTTACACCACTCCAGCCGACACTTGGCATTGCGAATGGTGATCTTAGGCTTGTATGCGGCTGCTCGGCAATGGAAACCCATTTCATGAAGCTCCTGACGAACAGTTCCTGTGCTGATGTTGCTTCCAGAGGCAGTTTGGAACTCGGTAGTGAGTGTAGCAATTTGCAACCGAGGACAGATTATTTTTACGCGCTACGCGCCTCAGCACTCGGCAGTCCCGTTCTGCGAGCTTGTGTGGCCTTCCACTTTGTGGCTGAGCCATTGTTGCTCCTAGACGTTTCCACTTCACAATAACAGCACTTATAGTTGACCGGGGCAGCTCTAGCACGGCAGAAATTTGACGAACTGACTTGCTGGAAAGGTGGTATCCTATGACGGTGCCAAGTTACTGAGCTCTTCAGTAAGGCCATTCTACTGCCAATGTTTGTCTATGGAGATTGCATGACTGTGTGCTCAATTTTATACACCTGTCAGCAACGGGTGTGGCTGAAATAGCCAAATCTACTAATTTGAAGGGGTGTCCACATACTTTTGTATGTATTGTGTATATTTGTTGTACTATATGCACATACAAAAATATGTGGTTAAAAGGAGTTGATTGATCAATGATCATTATAACCAATCAACCTGGTCAATTCTTTGTTTTCCACCTTGCAGCTCGTAAGTATGGGATGTGTGAGATAGACTGGGTCCAGGCCAGGTTCTCTGTGTCCTACAGACTCTACGTCATCCTCATCTTCACCTTCAACTTCTTCATCCCATTTGTGGTCATATGGTTCTCCTACGTTTCCATCATCCGGGCAGTCAACAACAGCCACAAGTCCAGCAGAGGGGGAGAGGTCAGCGAGAGAGAGAAACAGATGGAGCGCAGTATAACAACAGTGAGTGAGGAAGCCCCCAGTCTACAAACAATTAGTAGCTGCAGGATTGGGTACATATTACATACTGGGGAATGCTGTGGGATTCAAAGTATAAAGTAAATCTAGCATTGTGTCTGCTGATGGTTTGCTCTTTTAGCTATACACTGCTCTTATTTCATTATCATTTTAGGTATTGGTTAGGTCAGTGTTTGTGGCTACTCATGTGTAGTGTACACTCACCGGCCAGTTTATTAGGTGGTACACCGTTCACGAAAATGGATCGCTCCTATAGACACTGAGTCATGTGGCCGTGGCTTGCTATATAATGCAGGCAGACAGGCATTGAGGCATTCAGTTACTGTTCGATTGAACGTTAGAATGGGCAAAACGAGTGACCTAAGCGACTTTGAGCGTGGTATAATCGTTGGTGTCAGACACGCCAGATACAGTATCTCAGAAACGGTCGCCCTCCTGGGCTTTTCACGCACGACAGTGTCTAGGGTTTCCCGAGAATGGTGCGAAAAACAAAAAACATTCAGTCAGCGGAAGTCCTGTGGGTGAAAACAGCTCGTTGATGAGAGGTCAAAGGAGAATGTCAAGAATCGTGCAAGCTAACAGGCGTACCACAAACAGGCAAATAACAGTGCAGTGGTGTGCAGAACGTCATCTCGAAACGCACAACTCGTCGGTCCTTGTCACGGATGGGCTATAGCAGCAGACGACCACACCAGGTTCCACTCCAGCTAAAAACGACAAGAAGCGCCTCCAGTGGGCAAACGATCACCAACACTGGACAAATTGAGGAGTGGAAAAACATTGCTTGGTCCGATGAATCCCAGTTCCTTTTGCGCCAGAGTCAGGATTTGGCGTAAGCAACATGAGTCCATGGACCCATCCTGCCTGGTGTCAACGGTACAGGCTGGTGGCGGCGGTGTCCCACCGTCCAATCTGCAGCAACTGCGTGATGCCATCGCATCAGCATGGACCAACATCCATGTCGAACATTTCTGTGCCCCGAACAATTCAGGCTGTTAAGGAGGCAAAGCGGGGTCCGACCAGGTACCTAATAAACTGTCCAGTGAGTATATATTATACCAACTCCTTCCTCCTCCCCCAGGTGTCTCTGATCTTGTGTTCATCCTTCCTGCTGGCCTGGTCTCCCTACGCGGTCATCTCCATGTGGTCTGCCTGTGGTCACCAGGTGCCTCCTCTCCACAGCATCCTGGCCAGCCTGTTCGCTAAGTCAGCCAGCTTCTACAACCCCTTCATCTACCTGGGCATGAGCTCCAAGTTCAGACAAGACTTCAGAGCCCAGTTCCACTGCCTGCGCCCCAACCCGGACCTCTCCCACAGACCCGACGAGGTGCAGATTGACCTGGACATTATGGAGGTGAATGGAGGGGTGGATGACCTGGACTCTGGGGTGGAGCTGGGTATTGACAGGGGTGTGGAGGAGAGGGGGGAGAACCAGAGGAGTCCTCTTATGCCCCCCATGATAGCCCCCGCTCCCAGTCACCGCCTGTTCCTGAGGAAGCTCAGTGACTCTGGACGCCTGTGAGATCTCTGTCTCTCTGTTTCTGTCTCTCTGTTTCTGTCTCTGTCTCTCTGTTTCTGTCTCTCTGTTTCTGTCTCTCTGTCTCTGTCTCTCTGTCTCACTGTCTCTGTTTCTGTCTCCCTGTCTCTCTGACCATGTCTCTCTCTTTCTCTCTCTCTCTCTTATAAAGTACAGGACATGTCCTACGTACTGAGCTACAGCGGAGCTCAGCTTTCACTGTTAACTGTTCACCTCCATAGACATGGGTAACTCACAGTACAGCAACCCTCTGGACTTAAAAAAAAACTTAAATCCAGAGAAGACCTTGGTTTTGATCTCACCTGAATTGTTTGGAATCACTGATATTGAAGGATTTACAGTATGTGGCAAACACTATCAATTTAGGGTCTGAATGAAATCATATCTGTTTCACTGTTTTACATGTTACTCTAAAGCTGTAAATAATGAGTTATTTTTTTAAATAAATCCTTGGTTTTGGTTTGTATGCCGTCCAAAAAATAACTTCCAATAGCTCATCAATCAATGATGACTTGACTTAATACAGTAACTCAACTCAAAAGGGGTTATATCAGGCGCTGATGTTGTACATTAATTCTCAGTCACTCACAGAGGGATTGTGTGCAGAAATAATGAGGTGGAGAAGTGAGAAAAGGCTCTGCCTTGACCTGAAGTCGCTAATCTGGGTTTTGTCCCCCCTCTGCCTTGAGGGAGCTTGGGAAACTGGGAGAATGTGAGCAGGCCCTCACATGGAGACTGGCTGGTGCACAGCTGAATCTGTGGGACCAAGAGGAGAAAGCAGAGAACAACACAGCAACCACAGAATGGAAAGATGGTACTGTTCAATTCAATACAGCTTTATTTGTCCCCATAGTGTAGTGCATCGACACACAGAAACAAGAGGAACAATCCATAGACGTGTAACATAAAAACAATAACTGTGAAAAAAGAACTGCAATAAATATCAAAGAAAAGTGTAAAGTATATGTGCAAATGCAAGTAGGATTACTGTAGTACTGTGGAGTGTACTATACTGTGGCCGGGAATTAGGAAGGATATAGGATATATTGTATGAGGGGGAACTCCACTCCAAAGGCTGTGGTTTTATAAATCAGCTAGTGAGTGTGCTGAATAAATATGACCAGGTCTCACCTCAATAAAACAAAGCCACTGTAATGCAGTTGGGTTCAACAATGGAATTATAACCGAACAAGTTAACAATAGTCTCCCTTTGTAATAATAACCTGTCCCAGATAATGACAAGGTAATGGCTGCCATAAGTCCCCTTTCTCTTCTATGAGTAATTATAAACCACAACACAGTGGTTGTGTCCGAAATGGCAACCTATTCCCTATTTAGTGCATTACTTTTGACCCGGGCCCTGGTCAAAAGTAGTGCACTTTATAGGGAATAGGGTGCCATTATCGACACACCCGTGTCTTCAGAGTGAAAGTTACCTCAGGAGTCCACGGCAGCTGGAATTTCAGCAGGACTAATGACATGGGACAGGCACACAATAACCCATCAGGGGTCCCCATGACTGACCATACACAGCTACCACAGCCCTGCCAACACCACGAGCACGGTGACACAAAATAAACCAATCCCCCCCTCCAAGAAAATACCACAAAAACATCAGCTTGTTAGTGAAATCTCTTAACTTTCTGGAAGAAAGAGCATCTTTAATCTATGTTTGTTTAAATGTGAAATTCAACTTTTTAGATGATAGTTTCTCATGAATTTTACTTTGACAATGTTTAAACAGAAAAGTACAATTCATTTTTCCTCAAAGACATAGGACCATCAATGTTCAAACCTGAAAGCAGTCTGCATTCACAATTTGTACACAGGATGTTGAATTGTTTAGAATGTGCATACCAATATTAATAACAATTTGATGTGCCTTATTGCTTGTGTCTGAATATAAATGCATTTGATATTCCTTGGTCTATGGTGGCATGGTCAGAGGATGAGCCTTGAACTCTGAGTAGGTTGCTGTGTTTCTCCCATGAAGTCTCCCATTACTCTAAACACATTACAGTGGCCCATTCTGCTTGGCCCATGCTGAAACAGCTATGTCACTTCTCTTTTAGTCAGCTCCTCAGTCTCACCCTACATGGCTGAGCATGGAGTCCCAGGCCAAGTTCTCCTTGTGACCATCACCTGCTTACTTGGAAACACCCAGCCAAGCCTACACTCTCCATTAGCTTTATAGTATCATAACTCATACCATGCTGAAATGTTTGTTGGTGTTTTCAATTAGGCAGAGTAATGTACTAGAAACAAATGCACTAAAAGGTGTATATGTAGTGCTGCAGGAGTAATGAGATGTTGTCATTGGAATGTGTGGAATATGTGTCCCATTCCTCAGAGGGAACAACAACTCATTGTACACAGACACCACAGAACAGGTTTTAGATACTCACCTTCTTATGGAATCTATTTCTTTCCATCTTTTTGAATGTCATCAGTGACACTTCACCCCAGGTGATTTATGTGATCGTAGCCTTTTTAAATTTTTATTTATTTTATTTTATTTAACCTTTATTTAACTAGGCAAGTCAGTTAAGAACAAATTCTTATTTACAATGACGGCCTACACCGGCCAAACCCTGACGACGCTGGGCCAATTGTGCGCCGCCCTATGGGACCCAATCACGGCCGGTTGTGATACAGCCTGGAATCGAACCAGGGGGTCTGTAGTGACGCCTCAAGCACTGAGATGCAGTGCCTTAGACCGCTGGCGATACACTGGTGCTGTGATGGTAAAAGGCCATACTAACACCTGGACAATGGTCTGATGGCACCCTAGTGGCTTTGGCTTTATCAAGAGGAGAGGTTCAGGTTATCCCTGGTTTATCTGTCTAACGTTGATCTCACTGAGGGCTCTGCTGGGACTCTTTGTCCAAAATAAAATATTGAGACGTTGGCACATGAGACTCTGCTCTTCTGGAGGACAGAAAGACATGAGGAGAATATCAAGCAGCTGTAAGGGTTGTCATGGTGACTGCCATTTCCTCTTCCTTTTCTTTCTGACAGTGAAAGGGATGGGGATTTTTAGAACAATGATCAACATGTGTGTCTATGGAACATGTGCAGTGCCTTAGGAAAATACTCACACCCCTTGACTTATTCCACATTTTGTTGTCTTACAAAGTGGGATTAAAATTAATTTTCATAAAAAATAAAACACTAATATATCTTGATTACATAAGTAATCCCCGAGTCAATACATTTTAGAATAACCTTTGGCAGTGATTACAGCTGTGCGTCTTTCTGGGTAAGTCTCTAAGAGCTTTCCACACCTGGATTGTGCAACATTTGCCCATTATTCTTTAAAGCTCTGTCAAATTGGTTGTTGATCATTGCTAGACACCCATTTTCGGGTCTTGCCATATATTTCCAAACAGATTTAAGTCAAAACTGTAACTAAGCCACTCAGGAACATCCACTGTCTTCTTGGTAAGCAACTCCAGTGTAGATTTGGCCTTGTGTTCAAGGTTATTGTCCTGCTGAAAGGTGAATTCATCTCCCAGTGTCTGTTGGAAAGCAGACTGAACCAGAAAAACTTTCCAGTCCTTACTGATTACAAGCATACCCATAACATTTGAGTAATTTAGCAGACGCTCTTATCCAGAGCGACTTACAGTTAGTGAGTGCATACATTTTTCATACTGGCCCCCCGTGGGAAACGAACCCACAACCCTGGCGTTGAAAACGCCATGCTCTACCAACTGAGCTACATGGGACTATAACATGATGCAGCCATCACTATGCTTGAAAATATGGAGAGTGTTACTCTGTAACGTATTGTATTAGATTTACCACAAACATAACACTTTCTAGTCAGGACAAAAAGTTAACGGCTTTGCCGCATTTTATGCAGTATTATTTTAGTGCCTTGTTACAAACAGGATGCATGTTTTGGAATATTTGTATTCTGTACAAGCTTCCCTCTTTTCCTCTGTCAATTAGATTAGTGTTATGGAGTAACTACAGTGTTGTTGATCCATCCTCAGTTTTCTCCTATCACAGCCATTCAACTCTGTAACTGTTTTAAAGTCACCATTGGCCTCATGGTAAAATCCCTGAGCGGTTTCCTTCGTCTCCAGCAACTGAGTTAGGAAGGATGCCTGTATTTTTGTAGTGACTTGGTGTATTGATACACCATCCAAAGTGTAATTAATAACTTCACCATGCTCAAAGGGATATTCAATGTCTGCTTTTTTTTAATATTCCCATCTACCCATAGGTGCCCTTCTTTGCTAGGCATTAAAAAACCTTCCTGGTCTTTGTGGTTGAATCTGTGTTTGAAATTCACTGCTCGACTGAGGGACCTTACAGATAATTGTATGTGTGGGGTACAGAGATGAGGTAGTCATTCAAAAATCTTGTTAAACACTATTATTGCACACAGAAAGAGTCCATACAACTTATTAGTGAGTGCATACATTTTTCATACTGGCCCCCCGTGGGAAACAAACCCACAACCCTGGCGTTGCAAGCGCCATGCTCTACCAACTGAGCTACAGGGGACTATAGCTTATGTGACTTGTTAAGCACATTTTTACTCCTTAACCTATTTAGGCTTGCAATAACAAAGGGGTTGAATACTTATTGACTCAAGACATTTCAGCTTTACATTTTTTATTAATTTCAAAAATTTTCTACAAACACAATTCCACTTTGGCATCATGGGGTATAGGCCAGTGACGAAATATCTCAATTGAATCCATTTCAAATTCAGGTTGTAACACAACGTGGTCACCAAAGCACAGATTGCAGTGTGTATAGTCTTTATGCCAATTAGCAGATACTTTTATCCAAAGCAACTTACAGTATTGAATGCAGATGTTTTAGTACGTGTGATCCCAGCAGGAATCAAACCCACAAACTTGGCATCGCTAGCGCCACGCTTTTATCAACTGAGCCACATAGTAGCACTTAATCTGGACCTCCCAGATGGCAGGATGCTACTGTGTAAAACCCCCATATTAAATACATATTTGGCAGTCTGGAATAACCTCAAAAGGTATTTTCATCTGATGAGACTTAAATTAAACATCTGTGAAAGATCACTAAAAGGGATGGTTATGAAAAAGTAATTTAAAAAGTGTCAGTCCACTTTGCAGTGAAGAGAGAAAAGAGTGCGGAATGTTCTATAACAGTTATTCAAGATGATATCAGATCAGCAAAAAATATATTAAGTATCTTGTTTATTTTGTTATATAATATGTCCTCTTGGTTACTAAAAAGCATTTGGAGAAGGTATTATTGTGTCCTCAAACTGCAACTGAAATGCTTTTGATTTGTTGAGATAGAGTTACCATTCAATAGAAATGTATGACCTTTATTGGAATGGTTGCGTTTATAGTAATCATGTGGTTTGATTGCTGTGTGTGGAGAACCTATTCTTGCACTGGTTACTAAAACCATGATCAATCACAACAATCCTCACATGCAGTATTTTTCTGGTAAAATATGATTACCTACTGAACAGTCTTCTACTGTATGTTTTTTTATATGTTTAATTACTTATAGATTACTTAATCTACCCTATATTCTAACAACCAGGTACCTGAAATCATAACATCCACCTCACTTTATTTGACTAATATTTAATTTCTGGTTAATTTTGAGGCCACCTTATTGTCCTGGCTGCTTGGTTCAGATGTCCCTTCTCAGGTTGAACACAGGTCTCTAGTAGACCCCGCCTCCTCTGATGTCACAGGGAGATGACTGGGAAGTTTGAGGACATTATTTAAGGAGCCAGCTCTCTCTGGAGGCTCAGATGTGATCCAGGAATATTACAAACTTCCAAGGAATAGCACCTTTTTCCTTTCCCCTGCAAGAATTTGGCATTTGGAATCTTAGATCTCAAGGAAACCGTATTCTACAAATTGTCTGTAAGGTGGATTTTTTTGTTTGTTAAATCCCATAGAGACAGAGATGCTCTGTTGTGTTGAACGCATTACTGAACATCGTCCAAGCTGCAGATATCTAACAGTCTAAACAAGAGTGGTGTACTTCTCTATGAATTGATTACCAAAAACTATAAACCTGTTTTATTGCATTGTTAGTTATGTGCTTTTTTCTTATGCATTTTGTCTTATAAATTACTATTAATTGTATGTCTCCAATTATTGAAGAAATGTAAAATGTTTTCCTGCTTGCTTATTTCATTGTAGGTGTTTGGGTCCATCATGCCAATTTTGTTTGCTGTTCTACACCTGTTAGGTAAGCACTGGTTGATGCAATTGACACACTGAATGTACTTGTGCCACTTCATCTACCTTGTATGAGTTATCTAGGAAATACTTTTTTTCGGTTTCACTCACATTTAAAAACTGTCATATCTGATCAAAAAGGCATTGTAGAGTTTTGTGTCATAATGATGGAAATTAGCTCTGTGCAAAAAAATAATATGTGTACAAATAATATGTGAAATCTTTGTGTAAAGAAAATAATATGTCATATGTAACTAAGATTTCATTAATGCATATTTGACACAATATTATTGAGTGAACTTTGACATTATTGAAAAGCTTCAATGATCACTTTGTTTAATTCCCACAGGTATTCTGTCTCTGACATTCAGAGCGTTTGGATCTGAATCAAGTGGTTAGTGGTTTTGTTCTCTTTGAATTTCATAAACACTTTGCTGTTATTTCTCTGTCAATATTAGGCAGATGAGATACCGTAGATTTGATACTACTAGTATTCTGGGAATTAACAATGTGTTCACTAATGTTTCTCATATTAATTTGATCCAGTGTAGTCCCACAGGGAGACAGTTGGGAACTGCACAGCTCAGCAAGATAGTAGAATATTTAGATATGTGAGAGTCTATTGATGAACAGTAGCTGCTGTATGTGGAGAAAAAAAGATATTTGATCGTGTCGTATCAGTGGATTTATTTATTTTGTTAACCAGCCAGTTTTACTTTGAAGACTTTTAGTTTTACTTGGAAGACTCCCAAACAAAATATGATACTTATTTCATTAAGGCAGAGGTGTTAGGATGTTATAGTTGAGAGCCACTGCTCTAGCTCTGTGGCCTTTGGCTCAGAGACATGTTCTATGGTAAGCCCATTCTCTGTTTGACTTGGATGACAGCAATTCCTCAAAAGCAAAAGGTGATGTTTATTCTTTTTCTTCAAAATGTAATTAACGTAGAGATGTGACTGAGGACAGCTTGTCTTCAGAGTTGTTCTTTATTATAGCCTGTAGGCTTTGGTATTGAGTTGTGGCTCTGAGGAAGAGAAAGCCATACCAAACTAATAGTAATAGGGTACCTGATAGAAAACAGATCTCTCTCTCTCTCTCTCTCTCTCTCTCTCTCTCTCTCTCTCTCTCTCTCTCTCTCTCTCTCTCTCTCTCTCTCTCTCTCTCTCTCTCTCTCTCTCTCTCTCTCTCTCTCTCTCTCTGTGTTTGTCTCAGTTGCCACTCCCATCACCTGTACGACCCGTGGGGCAGACCTGACGGAGGAGAGGCAGGTGGTCCTCTGCCCGCCTAACTGTACCCTCTGGAGGGTGTCTGTGTTCGGTTCTGGGGTGTACGCCGCCGTGTCCAGTGTGTGTGGAGCAGCCGTGCACCAGTAAGGCTGGAGCAGTTCAATAGCAGTGCTAAGACTAAGAGGCTTTGTGTAGGCCAGGAGAGGGATAATGTTTGGCTAATGCACATGCTATAGAGTTTCACCTCTATGACCTTCTTTTCTTTCTCAAAGAGTATTGATGTATAATAGAGAGAGACGTTCATATTCAAGAAGTCTGTATAACTTCTACAGTATCTGCATTTTTCATCTATCTTCCCTTCCCTCAACGTTTGCAGTGACTGACCGCTTACTGCTCATTTACATTTTTAACTGTATTTTACCACTTTTCTCAGGGGGGTGATAAGGTCCTCGGGGGGACCAGTGAAGGTCCACAAACTGCAAGGCAGACAGAACTACCTCGGCTCCTACTCCCATGGAGTCCAATCTCAGGCCCTGTCCAGGTGGACCGCATCATTCACAGTGGCCCGTAGGTGGCGCCAAATACCAAACATGTTTAATATTGTACATTTCACAGAGGAAAATGTGACTCAAAGAAGGCTGAGTAGGCATGAAGAATGACTCGAATTGTATTTAATGACATTCAATGTTGATGTTTTGAACGATTTACAATGAAGTGATTTTTCATTAATGACAAGTTTTGATAAAACATATGACTCTTTGTTGTCAGAATCTGCTCATGTGCCCCAGGAGGTGTCCTCCCAGATAGCCACAACTGCCCTCCCTGCATCAGGACCAGGACCAGGTAAAATTCTAACTATGTACAGTCGTGGTCAAAAGTTTTGAGAATGACACAAGTATTGGTCTCCACAAAGTTTGCTGCCTCAGTGTTGATGATGGCAATTTGCATATACTCCAGAATGTCATGAAGAGTGATCAGATGAATTGCAATTAATTGCAAAGTCCCTCTTTGCCATGAAAATGAACTTAATCCCCCAAAAAACATTTCCACTGCATTTCAGCCCTGCCACAAAAGGACCAGCTGCCATCATGTCAGTGATTGTCTCGTTAACACAGGTGAGAGTGTTGACGAGGACAAGGCTGGAGATCACTCTGTCATGCTGATTGAGTCAGAATAACAGACTGGAAGCTTTAACAGGAGGGTGGTGCTTGAAATCATTGTTCTTTCTCTGTCAACCATGGTTTACTGCAAGGAAAACACGTGCCATCATCATTGCTTTGCACAAAAAGGGCTTCACAGGCAAGGATATTGCTGCTAGTAAGATTGCACCTAAATCAACCATTTATCGGATCATCAAGAACTTCAAGGAGAGAGGTTCAATTGTTGTGAAGAAGGCGTCTGGGCACCCAAGAAAGTCCAGCAAGCGCCAGGACCGTCTCCTAAAGTTGATTATTCAGCTGCGGGATCGGGGCACCACCAGTGCAGAGCTTGCTCAGGAATGGCAGCAGGCAGGTGTGAGTGCATTTGCACGCACAGAGAGGCGAAGACTTTTGGAGGATGGCCTGGTGTCAAGAAGGGCAGCAAAGAAGCCACTTCTCTCCAGGAAAAACATCAGGGACAGACTGATATTCTGCAAAAGGTACAGGGATTGGACTGCTGAGGACTGGGGTAGAGTAATTTTCTCTGATGAATCCCCTTTCCGATTGTTTGGGCCATCCGGAAAACACCTTGTCTGGAGAAGGCAAGGTGAGCAGTACCATCAGTCCTGTGTCATGCCAACAGTAAAGCATCCTGAGACCATTCATGTGTGGGGTTGCTTCTCAGCCAAGGGAGTGGGCTCACTCACAATTTTGCCTAAGAACACATCCATGAATAAAGAATGGTGCCAACACATCCTCCGAGAGCAACTTCTCCCAACCATCCAAGAACAGTTTGGTGACGACCAATGCCTTTTCCAGCATGATGGAGCACCTTGCCATAAGGCAAAAGTGATAACTAAGTGGCTCGGGGAACAAAACATCGACATTTTGGGTCCATGGCCAGGAAACTCCCCAGACCTTAATCCCATTGAGAACTTGTGGTCGATCCTCAAGAGGCAGGTGGACAAACAAAAACCCACAACTTCTGACAAACTCCAAGCATTGATTATGCAAGAATGGGCTTCCATCAGTCAGGATGTGGCCCAGAAGTTAATTGACAGCATGCCAGGGCGGATTGCAGAGGTCTTGAAAAAGAAGGGTCAACACTGCAAATATTGACTCTTTGCATTAACTGAATGTCATTGTCAATGAAAGCCTTTGACACTTATGGAATACTTGTAATTATACTTCAGTGTACCATAGTAACATCTGACATAGATCTAAGAACACTGAAGCAGCAAACTTTGTGGAGACCAATACTTGTGTCATTCTCAAAACTTTTGACCACGACTGTAGATTAAACTACACATAATGGTCACCAATACTGCATGGGATACGCCTTATATTTTATGGCGACATCCTCTCTTGGTCGTCATACCTTACTAGAAGTAGAATTTCAGTGCGAACTATGTATCCAAAAGTACAATTACTTTATAATATCTTCATTACTAAATGGTTCTGTTTTTAGACCCTCCAGAGCTATCATACTCCACAGAGATACCTGTCTTCATGATTTACATTACAGATAAGGATATTTTATTATTTTAACTCTTAACATGTATGAGCACCACATGCAGTAACCAGAGCCTGTCTGTCTTGCAGTGAAGAAAACATTAAAGAAGCCAGTGAAGAAAATAACTACAGGAGGAAATAGAGGTATGCTTGTGTCATGTTTTGCTTTGATACTGTAGAACATTTTATTTTGCTTCAAGAATGCCCATGTCTCACTCTCTCATTCCAGACTGCCAGATGGAGATAGCCCTGCTGCTGGATAGCAGCAACAACATTGGGAAGCGTCGCTTCAACCTTCAGAAGAACTTCATCAGCAAGTTAGCGGTGATGCTAAGGATTGGACCGAATGGACCACATCTTGGTGTGGTGCAAGCTAGGTGAGTCAGTTCATTTGGTGTTCAATTAGTACATTTTCAAATTAGGTGTTATCATTTAGCCACTAACCCCATAGCAAAACAGTACAGTATTACATGTAGCTAACAAAGTGCTCGTCTTTCCAGTGACACCCCTCGGACAGAATTCCACCTGACTAACTACACTCAACCCAAAGATGTGGTGTTTGCCATCAAAGAGATAGCCTACCTGGGAGGCAACACTAACACAGGTTCTTTCTGACTTTTATTGCTGGTATACATATTGTACCACATGATGGATCTGCATATTATACAACCAGTATACAATACTATTTCCCATTCAAAGGAGAAATGGATTTGGGAGGAATATATACACTGGAATACAATACATATCACCAGCTAATTCTTCACATTTGTCAAATGTTGTGGGGATTCCCAATAAACCTAATCTGAGACCATGCTGTCTGTCTGCCTGTCCGGTCCCCACAGGTAAGGCCATCATGCACACGGTGGAGTCCTTCTTCCAGACAGGGGTGAGGAGAGGTCACCCCAGGGTCATAGTGGTGTTTATAGACGGCTGGCCCTCAGACCACCTGGAAGATGCGGCCGTGCTGGCCAGAGAGTCTGGTATCAACTTGTTCCTGGTGCCAGTGGCCAAGCCTGCCCTGGAGGAGCTAGGCATGGTCAGAGACAAGGACTACATGAAGAAGGTGAGCAGGGAGCCAAGAGTCACGTGACTGTGGTACTCTGTCCTATTGGCTGTATCCCGCTCTACTTTAGTGGTTTGAATGAGAATGGGTCATTTATGAACAGTTTGAAAAATGTGATGTTCTGGCCCTACCCATAGCTGTTAGCAGATTTTGCTGGGCACCACATACTGTAATGCAAAGATCAATTCGCCAGCCTATTTTCACGCCCTGACTCAGGGGACGTTGATTTGTTGAGTCAGGGTGTGTATATTCCGTGTTATGTTGTGTTTTTCTATGTTTAGTTCTAGATCGTTTAGATCTATGTTGGCCAGGGTGGTTCCCAATCAGAGGCAGCTGTAGCTCGTTGTCTCTGATTGGGGACCATACTTAGGCAGCCTGTTGGCACCAGTTAGTTTGTGGGATCTTGTTCTGTATAGGTTTGTTTTGTGTAACCTTAACACTTCACGTATCGTTTGTTTGTTGTTTTGTCGTGTTCAGTACTTAAATAAATATGTACGCTTATCACGCTGCGCCTTGGTTCGACCAGTCATTAAACGATCGTGACACCTATATCATTGTGATCTCATCACTTACAGTATCTAGCCATACCTGTTGTTTCTAATCTACATGATGATATGTCACTGACTGACTGTGTTTGTGTGTGCCATGCCAGGCAGTATGCAAGGACAACGGCTTCTTCACCTACGCCATACCCAGTTGGTTCGGCACCACCAAGCATGTGAAGCCCCTGGCCCAGAAGCTGTGCTCGGTGGACCAGCTCCTCTGCTCCAAAACCTGCTACAACTCTGTCAACCTGGGCTTCCTCATTGACGGCTCCAGCAGCGTCGGGGAGGCGAACTTCCGTCTGGTCTTGGACTTCATCATCTCCGTGGCCCGTAGCTTCGACATCTCAGACATAGGGTCACGTGTTGGGGCAGTCCAGTTCACCTACGACCAGAGGATGGAGTTTAACCTGTATGACTACCCAGTGAAGGATGAAGCCCTCAGGGCCCTGCAGGGGATCCCTTACATGAGCGGGGGCACGGCCACGGGAGACGCCATTGCCTACGCTACCCAGAACCTGTTCCAGGCCCGCAAGGCTGGCCCTGGGAGGAACTTCCTCATAGTGGTCACTGACGGACAGTCCTACGATGACGTCAGAGGGCCGGCCTTGGCCGCCCAGAAGGAAGGTGTGGATTCCTTTTTGGCAAAAGTATGACCATGTGTCGAGCTAGCATGTAGAACAAGATCAAAATATGTTTGTATGACATAAAAAAACAGCTGAGCTGAAATGTTTTGTCACATCGAGTGCCATTAGTATGGAGAAATAGGGTTTAGTGACACTGACAGCAGATAAGATAATCACACTGACCTAAAATATTTCTTAGATGATGCTCTTCCTGTTCCTAGTTCGATCACACTACACCACTCATTTGATCTCATCTCTCCCCCCTCATCTACAGGAATCACCATCTACTCTGTGGGGGTGGCCTGGGCTCCACTGGACGACCTGAAAACCATGGCATCAGAGCCCAAGGATAGCCACACATTCTTCACCAGGGAGTTCACTGGCCTGCAGCAGTTCCAGCAGCCCCTTGTAAGGGGCATCTGCAGGGACTTCACTGAGGTCAACTAGGGAGAGGTAGCAGAGAGCAGCTGTTTGGGCTCGCTGGAAACACCAGCCAGACAGGAAACATCTAGATGGCACTTTATTTTACAGTACAGAAATTACTAGGTATTTACTGAGAAATAAAATGGTAACTATATAGTAATAACCAATAAATTACTTGATTGTTTCTTTGGGATTCATTCAATCAAGTGCCACTAGGCACCCGGTGGTTGTAAATTGTGTTGAATTCTTCAAAGTAACTACCAGTTTTACCAAATTATTTTCTATTAAATACCAGTGGAAACATAAACAGTACTGTAAAAAATAAAGTGCTAGCCACTGTTCAACACATCCAGAGTACAGCAGAAGCTAACAGGGCAATAGCATTGTAGGTTCACATGAGTTCTCAGAAAACTATCATATATCATCGTTTGATATTACCTTAGACTCTGATGGTAACTGATATCACTACCATTATTCATTCATAAGTTCTCAAGATGTGACTATTTTGGAAAGTTGCACTATTCATGCTTTATCCAATGTGTATCGTAACTATACTGAAATTCTGATGTATATTAAGGTTCATGTCGTTTTCTATGTATTTCTTGAACAATCCAAAGCAGCCAAACCAAAAGTATAGGAACATGATAAATATGTACCTATAGATCGGTCAGTGATGAGCAAGATTTTCCTTCTCTTTCACCCTCGTCAACAATACACTTATCACTTCTCTGCTTGATATGGCTTGTAGTCATATGTATGATGTTAGCTGAAGGTAAGGGATGATATTTAGGGAATAAAGTACCATTAATTCTTTCCTAAGCCACAACTGCTGATGCTAAGCTTCTATGTACCTACGACAGAATGCTTTCCCAAAGCCTGTTTCTTTTGTATACTGTACACCATACTTACAGTACATTTGCATGTTGACCTGTACTTTATAAATATGATTCTATATTTATTACCTTTATTTTTTCTTTCAATAAAGAAAAGAATAGTGTATTTTATGTTGTTTTACAACTTTTCAATTGATTTTTGTTTATCATGCAAACAATTTACCCAACAAAACAATGTTACATGCAGACTCGGCATGCATTAAACACAACAGACTTTATGTACAGGTACACCATTTCATATTTATTATAGACATTTTATATACATTACTTTTGAACTGTTGTATGTTGTAGAATCTTTGTAAATCAAAAACCTTACAAAACTAATCAAAACTCGCAAACTGATCAGAACCTTTTTTTGGAAGACTAGAAAAAATACTTTGTATTAATCATGCATTACAGAAACAAAAGTCTTAGTTACACCATAAGTTGTAGCATGTTTGAAAATAAAACAGTTTTGCAAGATAAAAGGAAAATAGTACAACCAAACAAAACATTGGGTTGTGATTAGTCTTACGTTCGCTATTCCAATCCCTTAACTTAAATAAATGGAATAAAGAAAAACTGTTACACTCCATGCTTGCTTCAAAGCACTGATTTAACAGAATAAGGCAAACTTATACCTCAGACTGACCTCACAGATTGCATTTTATATGAACCTATAAGTTTCACTTGTTTTGGATTTACTGTTCCACTTTTACTTATAGATATCCTTGGGCCATGTATGTAGTTAAACGGATAAGACTAACAAAGTGAAATAAATAGCATTAAGATGTCTAATAACCTGTGATAAATAAACTCAAATACAGTAAGGTGTACAAAAATATCACATAGTGATAGGATGCTGCAGTTTATTTTAAAAGAGAGCTCTCAGGAAGCCATTAACAGGCTTCTTTTAGTCCTACAGTCTTTTCTGCCGTGACAAGACGGTGTCAAAGCAATGTAAGAGATAGCATCCTAGGGTTAGGAAGGGCGAGATCAACGAGCGTTTTCAGTGACGGGGGAACAGCAAGTTAGATCAGGGTTGTGGGGGACAGCATGAGTTGTGATGGAGGGTTCAGACCAGGAATAAATATTCCCTTTTTTTAAAACATAATTTTCAGTGCTGTTATGACAGACTTTATTTATATAAAAAGGATTATAAAAACTATATTTTATTTTACACAAAAATGTCATGTAACTAATGCTAAAGTTGATTGACTTTTTATATTTCATTTCATATTATTTTTCTCTCGCTACATGGATGCTGTTGAGTGGACGCCTGACTGACTCGTGTTTAGCGTGAACTGAATCGACGCCGGAGGGTCTCCTGGTCGGCCCACCAGGGGCTGTTACCACGTCCTGTTAAATACCCTTTTCACACTAGCCAGCTAAACCGAGCCAAGCTGAGCTGTACTGGACTGGCCTGATTACAAATCCACCATAGTTACTGGAACCGTGGTGAAAATAACAATGTGAAAATATCTGAGCCAGCACAGTATGGTTGGGGTCAGCCCTGTTGTGTGAATCAGGTTAAAAGACATGACCCAGTCCTAACCTCGCTCTCTGCGACAACCCACTGTCTGACGCACATGACAGCCACTCCGTCCATGGTCACTGAAGTATACCTACAGAACAGATATTATCTCAGCTCAAACCCAGTCAAAAGGCTACATACACTGGTTTGTTTTACTCCAGCTTTTAACTTACAGTAAATTACAGTTAAATGTTTTTTTTTGTTTGAAAACAGATAAAACTGATTGGTCGCTCCTCCACCCACCATGCCTGGCATAAGTCCCTTTGACACCTGGTTTCTGTCAAGTGTTGAGTTCAATAGGGATGGGGGTGGAGTGAGGCAGCTTCAATGTAGTGTCATAAAATGCTACTCTCGTTACACAAGGCAGTGAAGCAGTCTATTCTTTCTTTCTTTGTGTCTACACGCTCAGCCTGGCAGAGCAGCACTCGTCTACTATACAAATACTTTGGCCAGGGCGTCGGCCCCTGCACTTGCTATGTATGCCTTAGACGGGTGGAAGGCAACGTCATAGATGGACTCTTCAGACTTCATGCGGTGGGCAGTGATCTCCTGCACACAGGTCTTACTGTCCAGGTTCCACAAACGGATAGAGCAGTCGTGGCCTACGGAGGAGGAACAAGGAAAGGAGGGTAGGATCAGCAATGTTCTCTCTGGATATCAGCACCACCAGATATTGGGGAATTTTACATTAGTGTGTTGTCATAGGATACAATGTTGTAGAATTATATTTATATAGTCTTAGAATCAGAACTGTAAGCTGGTGACCACCGAATGCTGCCATTTAAAATTTCCCCACAGCTACGTTGCTTGTACTTACTTCCTGACATCAGGTATATACCATTGGGGTCCACAGCCAGGCTGGTGACAGCATCCAGGTGGGCCACCATCGCATGGATCACTTTACCTACGCAACAGGACATAAATACATAAGTCAGTACAGAGATATGGCAGACAGACAGAGACGTAACAGTCAGTACAGAGATATGGCAGACAGACAGAGACGTAACAGTCAGTACAGAGATATGGCAGACAGACAGATGACAGAGCAGTCAGCAGAGACAGAACATGTACAAAACAGTCCTAACTCTACATATGACTGGTCTTAGTCATTCTCCCATCTAGGCTCTGATTCACTGAGCTACAGTTAGTCAGTCAGAGTAACTAGCTGAACAGTGTGTCCACTCCTGTTTATTTACCTGATTTATTGTCAAAGAACTTGATGTCCCTGTCCTCGTGGGCCGTGATGGTGACAGGCAGGGTGGGGTGACTCACTACCTTGTTGATGTGGTTCGCTGCAGGCAGAGCTGAAAACACGCAGGTGAGAGGATGGGTCACAGCACGTTCACTATTAATACACCACCCGAAATGAGGACAGACCATTAAAACTGTGTACAAAGTTAGTAGTCTAGGATATATGAGATATCTATATAAAGAAGAAAAAACAACCACATCATTACCAGTTAATATTATTCAGGGAGCACATATTTATAATGTTACGCAGTATTGACTTGATTTTCACATAACATTTCTGTATACCCATACTCCCCCATAGAAAATGTAACTCAGTAAGTCATTCTAATTATATGTACTCCCCTTTCTAACTGAGCTTATGGCCCATAGTCTCCCTGGTTATTGTGTTGTAAGGGTCTAGGGTTGTTGTAGTCCTCCTGCTAAATGATGGGTGCAATAGACTTACTGCTCTCCCCCTGACCAGCGAACACCACGGCAGCCTGTGAGGTCTCCAGGTCATAGATCACAACGTTGCCTGTGTTGAAGGACGCCACCATGTGGGCGGGGTCACAGCCATTGAAGTCCACCGCTGTGGGGATGCCGTGTTCTGTCGTACACACACAGACACACATAAGTTGAAGAGCCTTTTGCACCTCCACTTTCCGACCTTGGCCACTTAACACAGGGCCGTATTCAAGTGCCATTGTCATGTTATGTCCATGTGAAAAACAAGCTCTACCCCACACTAATGGGGAAGTTCAAATGCATAGCATTTGGACTGTATGGTTGTCAAAACTCTATTCGTCCCAAATGGATTTCTCTTAAATGAAGGGAGCAGATGAAAGAGAAATGTATATAAAATGAATTTATTTGTCATTTATAAATTACTTTTTACTCCAACATTGTTCTAACGTCTAAATCACACCGACATCACACAAAATGGTACGCAGCACCATCTGGATATGTGTGCAACAAAAGTTCAACATTCACCTTCTGCAACCATTTCTGTCAAGCCGTCAAAGCATACAGTTTGATGCATACGTTCAATAAATCAAACGTATGCACCACACAGAACACACTGCAACTGCCTCTGCAACGCAATGCTGTAAGGCAAACGCAGCGCTCCATTGGAAATGAATGTACTTCTGGTGTACCAAAACGCAATGACGCTGTCTGTGTGATCGAGGCATAAGAGACAAATGGACATCAGTAAGCTATTGGGCCTTAATAATATAATACTGTGTTCTAAGCCTAGTTCTATGTCCTGTGTTCTAAGCCTAGTTCTATGTCCTGTGTTCTAAGCCTAGTTCTATGTCCTGTGTTCTAAGCCTAGTTCTATGTCCTGTGTTCTAAGCCTAGTTCTATGTCCTGTGTTCTAAGCCTAGTTCTGCTAGTGACTCGGTCAATAAAAAAGTGGTCAGATGAAGCAGATGCTAAGCTACAGGACTGTTTTGCTAGCACAGACTGGAATATGTTCCGGGATTCTTCCGATGGCATTGAGGAATACACCACATCAGTCACTGGCTTCATCAATAAGTGCATTGATGACATCGTCCCCACAGTGACTGTACATACATACCCCAACCAGAAGCCATGGATTACAGGCAACATCCGCACTGAGCTAAAGGGTAGAGCTGCCGCTTTCAAGGAGCGGGACTCTAACCCGGACGCTTATAAGAAATCCCGCTATGCCCTCCGACGAACCATCAAACAGGAAAAGCGTCAATACAGGACTAAGATCGAATCGTACTACACCGGCTCCGACGCTCGTCGTTGGATGTGGCAGGGCTTGCAAACTATTACAGACTACAAAGGGAAGCACAGCCGCGAGCTGCCCAGTGACATGAGCCTACCAGACGAGCTAAATTACACTGAAATAACACTGAAACATGCATGAGAGCATCAGCTGTTCCGGACAACTGTGTGATCACGCTCTCCGTAGCCGATGTGAGTAAGACCTTTAAACAGGTCAACATTCACAAGGCCGCAGGGCCAGACAGATTACCAGGACGTGTTGTCCGAGCATACGCTGACCAACTGGCAAGTATCTTCACTGACATTTTCATCCTCTCCCTGTCTGAGTCTGTAATACCAACATGTTTCAAGCAGACCACCATAGTCCCTGTGCCCAAGGACACTAAGGTAACCTGCCTAAATGACTACCAACCCGTAGCACTCACGTCTGTAGCCATGAAGTGCTTTGAAAGGCTGGTCATGGCTGACATCAACAACATTATCCCAGAAACCCTAGACCCACTCCAATTTGCATACTGCCCCAACAGATCCACAGATGATGCAATCTCTATTGCGCTCCACACTGCCCTTTCACACCTGGACAAAAGGAACACCTATGTGAGAATGCTATTCATTGACGACAGCTCAGCGTTCAACACCATAAAGCTCATCACTAAGCTAAGGACCCTGGGACTAAACACCTCCCTCTGCAATTGGATCCTTGACTTCATGACGGGCTGCCCCAAGGTGGTAAGGGTAGGTAACAACACATCCGCCACGCTGATCCTCAACATGGGGGTCCCTCAGGGGTGCGTGCTCATTCCCCTCCTGTACTCCCTGTTCACTCATGACTGCATGGCCAGGCACGACTCCAACACCATCATTAAGTTTGCCGACGACACAACAGTGGTAGGCCTGATCACCGACAACGACGAGACAGCCTATATAGGAGGTCAGAGACCTGGCCGTGTGGTGCCAGGACAACAACCTCTCCCTCAATGTGATCAAGACAAAGGAGATGATTGTGGACTACAGGAAAAAGAAGGACCGAGCACGCACCTATTCTCATCGACAGGGCTGTAGTGGAGCAGGTTGAGAGCTTCAAGTTCCTTGGTGTCCACATCACCAACAAACTAACATGGTCCAAGCACACCAAGACAGTCGTGAAGAGGGCACGACAAAACCTATTCCCCCTAAGGAGACTGAAAAGATTTGGCATGGGTCCTCAGATCCTCAAAAAGGTTCTACAGCTGCACCATCGAGAGCATCCTGACTGGTTGCATCACTGCCTGGTTTGGCAACTGCTCGGCCTCCTTTACGCTGCTGCTACTCTCTGTTTATTATCTATGCATAGTCACTTTAATAACTCTACCTACATGTACATATTACCTAAATTACCTCGACTAACCGGTGCCCCCGCACATTGACTCAGTACCGGTACCCCCTGTATATAGCCTCGCTATTGTTATTTTACTGCTGCTCTTTAATTATTTGTTACTTTTAATATTTTGCACCAAAACAAAATTGGTATTCTTTCTTAAAACTGCATTGTTGGTTAAGGGCTTGTAAGTAAGCATTTCACTGTAAATACCTGTTGTATTCGGCGCATGTGACAAATAAAATGTGATTTAATTTGATTCTATGTTCTGTGTTCTAAGCCTATTTCTATGTACTGTGTTTTAAACGTAGTTCTATGTTCTCACCTTTCTCTGCGTTGTAAGTGCTGATGCATGGGTTCTTCTCCTGGGGGTTCCACAGCTTGACGGTTCCATCTGCGGAGCAGGACAGCAGGCGGTTCTTGATGCCGCTGTAGGCCAGCCCCCACACAGCGTCTGTGTGGCCCAGCCAGGTTCCAGCCAGGACGCTGGGGTCTGAGGCGTTGGAGGAGGGGACAGAGTCAGCGATACCCATACAATAAGGGAGATAAACAGCTCTGTGATTACTCAAGGATGCGATTGGAATAATATGAAGAAAAAAAGTATACTCGTCAATTCAACTAATATGATAGATGAAAGTATTCCTGACTTCTGTCACTGTGGTCAATGTCTGAAGGCACAGAGGATAGACAGAATATTGGCCATGCTAAAGAGGGGCTGAGGATGTTTCAACCATACCGTAGGTGTCGTAAGGGTCTACGTTGGAGCTGGGGATGTTCCACCACTGTATTGTGCTGTCAATCCCTCCACTGTAACACTGCTCTCCGCTGGAACTCATAGCCAGGGACAATACAGGCCCACTGAGGAGAGGAACGGCTTATCAGAAAGGTGACATTTAATACTTCCTACTAACAATCATTTACATAATTATACAGTGAGAGAAAGCCATATGCAAAACAGTTTTACTGATTGATTGAAAATAGTTTTAGCGTATTATTATTACATTTTTGACCAGTTCCTTCTGGTTATTAGATACTTACACATGAGCTCTGAATGTGTAAATGGGTTCCACATCAAAATAGGCACTTCTAAAGAAGAAACAAAAAGTTATTTAAAAAGATTTCTCAGACCGATTTAATTCAATGATGCATTCCATAATGACAAGATAATCCAACAATGCAAACAAGTGCGTGTGTGTATGTACTTTTTGGCAGGTACAGTCTTCTGTAAGTTCCACAGTTTGAGGGTGTGGTCCTCAGACACGGTGACCAGTACAGGCTCTACAGGATGGAAGGCCAGAGCCCTGACCCCGTCAAAGTGGCTGCGCAGGGTGTACTTCGGATTCCACGTCTTCCTGAACGTGTCCTTACTGGCTGGCAGCTAAAATTAGACAGACAGGACAGGGGAGGAAAAGAGAACGGCAACTTTAAACAACTGTGGAGTGAAAAATCGAGACAGGTTGGTGCTGAGTTAGCTAGGGGCTAACAGCACTGGAGGATGTAATGTACTAGGACTACTTGAGCATGGCATGCCCCTCCACTTCCTAATGAAGCCCTTAATGGACATATGTGATTCTGACCAACTGTCAAAGCTAGAGAACCTTCCCTCTCTCAACGCTTTGTGTGTGAGGTGGTTGAGGAGGAGGAGAGAGGTTCAGGGTGGGGTTCAGGAGGAGAGAAAGGGGCAGGGGTGGTTCAGGAGGAGAGAGAGGGGTGGGGGTGGTTCAGGAGGAGAGAAAGGGGCAGGGGGTGGTTCAGGAGAAGAGAGAGGGGTGGGGGTGGTTCAGGAGGAGAGAGAGAGGGGCAGGGGGTGGTTCAGGAGGAGAGAGAGAGGGACAGGGGGTGGTTCAGGAGGAGAGAGAGAGGGGTGGGGGTGGTACAGGAGGAGAGAAAGGGGCAGGGGGTGGTTCAGGAGGAGAGAGAGGGGTGGGGGTGGTTCAGGAGGAGAGAGAGAGAGGTGGGGGTGGTTCAGGAGGAGAGAGAGAGGGACAGGGGGTGGTTCAGGAGGAGAGAGAGAGGGACAGGGGGTGGTTCAGGAGGAGAGAGAGAGGGGTGGGGGTGGTTCAGGAGGAGAGAGAGGGGTGGGGGTGGTTCAGGAGGAGAGAGAGAGGGGTGGGGGTGGTTCAGGAGGAGAGAGAGAGGGACAGGGGGTGGTTCAGAAGGAGAGAGAGAGGGACAGGGGGTGGTTCAGGAGGAGAGAGAGGGGTGGGGGTGGTTCAGGAGGAGAGAGAGGGGCAGGGGGTGGTTCAGGAGGAGAGAGAGGGGCAGGGGGTGGTTCAGGAGGAGAGAGAGGGGTGGGGGTGGTTCAGGAGGAGAGAGAGAGGGACAGGGGGTGGTTCAGAAGGAGAGAGAGGGGTGGGGGTGGTTCAGGAGGAGAGAGAGAGGGGCAGGGGGGTGGTTCAGGAGGAGAGAGAGAGGGGCAGGGGGTGGTTCAGGAGGAGAGAGAGGGGCAGGGGGTGGTTCAGGAGGAGAGAGAGAGGGACAGGGGGTGGTTCAGGAGGAGAGAAAGGGGCAGGGGGTGGTTCAGGAGGAGAGAGAGGGGTGGGGGTGGTTCAGGAGGAGAGAGAGAGGGACAGGGGGTGGTTCAGGAGGAGAGAGAGAGGGTGGGGGTGGTTCAGGAGGAGAGAGAGAGGGGTGGGGGTGGTTCAGGAGGAGAGAGAGGGGTGGGGGTGGTTCAGGAGGAGAGAGAGAGGGGTGGGGGTGGTTCAGGAGGAGAGAGAGAGGGGTGGGGGTGGTTCAGGAGGAGAGAGAGAGGGACAGGGGGTGGTTCAGAAGGAGAGAGAGGGGTGGGGGTGGTTCAGGAGGAGAGAGAGAGGGGCAGGGGGTGGTTCAGGAGGAGAGAGAGAGGGGCAGGGGGTGGTTCAGGAGGAGAGAGAGGGGTGGGGGTGGTTCAGGAGGAGAGAGAGAGGGGCAGGGGGTGGTTCAGGAGGAGAGAGAGAGGGGCAGGGGGTGGTTCAGGAGGAGAGAGAGGGGCAGGGGGTGGTTCAGGAGGAGAGAGAGGGGCAGGGGGTGGTTCAGGAGGAGAGAGAGGGGTGGGGGTGGTTCAGGAGGAGAGAGAGAGGGACAGGGGGTGGTTCAGGAGGAGAGAAAGGGGCAGGGGGTGGTTCAGGAGGAGAGAGAGGGGTGGGGGTGGTTCAGGAGGAGAGAGAGAGGGGTGGGGGGTGGTTCAGGAGGAGAGAGAGGGGTGGGGGGTGGTTCAGGAGGAGAGAGAGAGGGGCAGGGGGTGGTTCAGGAGGAGAGAGAGGGGTGGGGGTGGTTCAGGAGGAGAGAGAGAGGGGCAGGGGGTGGTTCAGGAGGAGAGAGAGGGGTGGGGGTGGTTCAGGAGGAGAGAGGGGCGGAATACTGGAGGAGGGAGAGGTTCAGGGAGGGGTTCAGGGTTGGTGTTGTTCAGGGGGTCATGGTTCAGGAGTGACAGTTGCTTACATCATAGCTGTAGTCAGCCTCATCGTTGGAGACAGTGAGGTCAGCCAGGTCTCCCAGGCCCAGGACACTCTCCAACACGTCATCAGAGCCCATGATAAAGGACTTGCCTCCACCTGAGGGAAACGGTAAGGGCTCGGCTAAGAATAGGACGGAGAAGAGAGGAGAGGAGAAGGTTTAGTAAACAACATACAGGCCACACCTACACACAGAGACAGAGAGCTCAGGTTGGACATGCTTCGTAAACAAAGAGCTCAGCCTCTCAGTGGGGTGCTAAAACATTCACCCGCATGGTAAGACTGCAGAGCACACACTAAGCGGATTGACTTAGTGACACGGCTAGAGAAGCTTTTATGTCTAACATAGTAGAAAGTAGAGTATTTCACTAGGTAGAAGTCAAAGCCTTGAGTGAAAAACAATGAGTCATGCGATGAAACAATTTCCTAAACAGACAAAAGAGGAGAAGCAACTACACAGGTTAGGCCCATTGCAAAAAACACATGAAAAATGAAGACCAGCACTGTATAGAATGGGGTTCATGTCATTACTAGTGGGTCTGACTGGTGCTCTGTATGCAACCCTTTCTCTCGGCCACAGCGGAGGGTCGTGCTGAGAGTAGTGTGACTGATCCTAGAGGCTGGGATTAGAGCAGGGCATGCAGCAGCAGTGAGGTGTGTGTGGCAGGGCCAGGCCAGGCCAGGGGAGCAGGGGAGGGCTCAGAATATCCTGTGCACAAGTGAGGAGGAATGCTGACGCAGCATCGGCATGATTGAGATACCACAGGGTAGGCCATTCTTGGTGCAGATCAGAATACACGCTCCACTACACTTTAGTTCAGTTATATCTACCACTGGCCAACATATAGACATGTATTCCTCTACCTAACACACACTACCGCTGTCCAAGCCACAGGTCCTCTACCCAACACCCATGCAGGCCAACACTGATTACACTACATGTTCATTTATACAAATAGCTGCATTTATGCCAAATGTACATGGGGACAAAATGGGGTATAGGTTAGTTCTCAACAGGGAGGTATGTTATATCCTCTTACCCCATTCGGTCCCGTCCCCTGAACTCCTGGCCTCCCCTGCTCCCTCTCCGTCCTCGGCATTCACCAGAAAGTCAAACTCCTTCAGAGCCTCCTCCGTGTCGGGGTCGTCTGGAAGGTCAGAGGCCAGGCCCTCGTTCCCAACCTGGAGAGAGGACAAACACAGTCAGCCATCAGGTCTGGCACACTGGGATCATCAAATAAAGTATATAGTTAATACAATACTTGTATAAAAAGTATACTTTACAATACTTTTATTTTCCATTTTCGATTTTGGGAGACCAGTGGTTGGTATTTTCCTTCCGCATGGTCTTTTACCGAATGTAATTGTGGTGACTTCTTTTACACAGCAGGCATTTAAAGGTTCTCTCTTGATGACTATCAACATTCATAATCAGGTCTGAGGATACAAGTCTATAGTGTCAAGAGCCAAGTACTGCTTTGGTCTTAGTAAGCCATTATTACAACCATGTACACAATGATGACAGTGGCAGTACATTTAAAACAACATTAGTAATGGTCGTTTCACACATGATCAGATGTAATCGTCTGAAGCAAAGAGGTCTTCACCTTTATTTTCTGCTTTTTTATTGTGTGTTTGCCGCTGTCTATATCCTCCATCAGGTCTCCCTCCTCATCGTCATCTTCATCACTGTCGTCTGCGTTTTCTAAGAAGTTAAATGTTTCCAGAACATCTCCTGGATTCCTAGAAAAACAGTTAGAAAACAACTATTTAGAGCAATGCGGCACTGTGAATGATTTCATTAGTCAAAGAAATGGAACAGGATGGATGATGTGGCTAATGCTACTCAGAGCATACTGTTCTGAGCACACAGAGGCTGAATGTGCAGAATCCATCAGAAATCTGCTATTTTGGAAGTTGCCAGGAAAAGTGGAGAGAGTGATTTCAGTTTCGTCAGGAAAGGTGAACAACATTGTGTCAGTTGGACCTTCACTGAAGTGATTGGCAGTGTGCAGGATCAGATGAGGCCTAACTACCTACCTTTTAATATCTTGTCCCTTTCGTTTGGCTGGAAACTCCCCTCCGTTGAGGATCTGCTCCAGGTTCTTGTTTTCCACAGAGCCGTTCTGCTCAGAGCTGGATAGGCCCAGTAACGAACGCACTCTCTGAGACCGTACATCTAGTATTGTGTCCGTGTAACCTACCTCCTGAAGATATCTGTTGGGACAGAAACAGAATTACACATCCAAATTACTTAGCTAACTAAGTAAACCTGGGCCCGTGTTCCTATAGATTCTCAGAGCAGGAGTGCTGATCAGTTTGACATTTTAGATCATAAGGAATAAGATTACATGGACAAGGGGGACCTGATCCTTGATCAGCACTCCTATTCTGAGACACGCTATCAATACAGGCCCTGATGGGAATTCATCTTTATCTATAAATATGTTAGAACGCTAGCGGCATGTGAGGCCCTATACAGTGGGGGGAAAAAGTATTTAGTCAGTCACCAATTGTTTGTTTGGCCACAAAAGTTTCTCAATACTTTGTTATATACTCTTTGTTGGCAATGACACAGGTCAAACGATTTCTGTAAGTCTTCACAAGGTTTTCACAAACTGTTGCTGGTATTTTGGCCCATTCCTCCATGCAGATCTCCTCTAGAGCAGTGATGTTTTGGGGCTGTCGCTGGGCAACACGGACTTTCAACTCCCTCCAAAGATTTTCTATGGGGTTGAGATCTGGAGACTGGCTAGGCCACTCCAGGACCTTGAAATGCTTCTTACGAAGCCACTCCTCCGTTGCCCGGGCGGTGTGTTTGGGATCATTGTCATGCTGAAAGACCCAGCCACGTTTCATCTTCAATGCCCTTGTTGATGGAAGGAGGTTTTCACTCAAAATCTCACGATACATGGCCCCATTCATTCTTTCCTTTACACAGATCAGTCGTCCTGGTCCCTTTGCAGAAAAACAGCCCCAAAGCATGATGTTTCCACCCCCATGCTTCACAGTAGGTATGGTGTTCTTTGGATGCAACTCAGCATTCTTTGTCCTCCAAACACGACGAGTTGAGTTTTTAACAAAAAGTTCTATTTTGGTTTCATCTGACCATATGACATTCTCCCAATCCTCTTCTGGATCATCCAAATGCACTCTAGCAAACTTCAGACGGGCCTGGACATGTACTGGCTTAAGCAGGGGGACACGTCTGGCACTGCAGGATTTGAGTTCCTGGCGGCGTAGTGTGTTACTGATGGTAGGCTTTGTTACTTTGGTCCCAGCTCTCTGCAGGTCATTCACTAGGTCCCCCCGTGTGGTTCTGGGATTTTTGCTCACCGTTCTTGTGATAATTTTGACCCCACAGGGTGAGATCTTGCGTGGAGCCCCAGATCGAGGGAGATTATCAGTGATCTTGTATGTCTTCCATTTCCTAATAATTGCTCCCACAGTTGATTTCTTCAAACCAAGCTGCTTACCTATTGCAGATTCAGTCTTCCCAGCCTGGTGCAGGTCTACAATTTTGTTTCTGGTGTCCTTTGACAGCTCTTTGGTCTTGGCCATAGTGGAGTTTGGAGTGTGACTGTTTGAGGTTGTGGACAGGTGTCTTTTATACTGATAACAAGTTCAAACAGGTGCCATTAATACAGGTAACGAGTGGAGGACAGAGGAGCCTCTTAAAGAAGAAGTTACAGGTCTGTGAGAGCCAGAAATCTTGCTTGTTTGTAGGTGACCAAATACTTATTTTCCACGATAATTTGCAAATAAATTCATTAAAAATCCTACAATGTGATTTTCTGGAGAAAGAAAATCTCAATTTGTCTGTCATAGTTGACGTGTACCTATGATGAAAATTACAGGCCTCTCTCATCTTTTTAAGTGGGAGAACTTGCACAATTGGTGGCTGACTAAATACTTTTTTTTCCCCACTGTAGGTGTGCTGTGTCAGAGTACTCACTGTCTGAGGAGTTGTCTGCCCTGTTTCCACGTCAGCTGACTGTTCTGAGGTACAGCTGGGACCTCTGTGTCTTTGGTATCTTCTGCAAACATAACACAAAGTTATTGAAACCACTGTATGTCAACATATTCTATTTATTACGTTTCATTGCAGTTCAGAGAGGAGAGGTCCGTACCTGGTTCGAAGCTAGGCATCTTAACTTCACCTTGATTTAATTCTGTTCCATATTTTAATTTATGGTATTTTGCTCTGGTAGAGAAAAGACAAATGAAAGAGTTTAGTAAATGTGATGAGATAATAAATTATATTATTATAATATATGCAATCAGTGGAGGCTGCTGAGGGGAGGACGGCTCATAGCAATGGCTGGAATGGAGCCAATGGAATGGTATCAACCAATGGAAACCAAATGTTTGATACCATTCCATTGACTCCATTCCAGCCATTATTATGAGCCGTCGTCCCCTCAGCAGCCTCCACTGATTATGCACAAAATGTACATACAATGTAGCTCCCCTGTAGCTCAGTTGGTAGAGCATGGCGCTTGCAACCCCAGGGTTGTGGGTTCGTTTCCCACGGGGGGCCAGTATGAAAATGTATGCACTTACTAACTGTAAGTCACTCTGAATAAGAGCATCTGCTAAATGACTAAAATTTAAATGTAATGTAGTAGAATGTCAGCCCAATGAGACAGATTGAACTTGGCCTTATATCAGAGTTATTGATTCAAGTTTAGAAGAAAACCTATACACTCACCTTTCTTGCTTTAATGCATATTCTAACATTTTTATTCTTCTAACTAGATCATTCTTTAAATTTTCTTGACCCTTCCTTTCTCCTTGTAGGAATGCTATTCGAGCCTGAAAGAAACAAGAAAAGACAAAAATGTACACGTTAACGGTTCTGCCTTTAAAGGCAACAATTTACTCTCAACTTTAAAAGCTCTACAAATGTTAAGGTAATCTTTTGTGGTGTATCAAACACCAATCTTTCCCACTGAAGAAATAGGCATGTCATGTCTACTGAATTATTAAACAGCTGAATAACTGTGGCAGAGGCAGCAACGACTGTTACATCACCTACTACTACACAGCACTCTTCTTCTTGTCCTCATATTCCATTAATTAATGACTCCATCAAAGCCTTGTATCAAATTAAATGTTAATTATGTACACAAACAAACCCCATGTAGGGGCCTACTATACCAGCTATTGACCGTACACATACAATGCCTTCAGAAAGTATTTACACATTGACTTTTTCCACAATTTGCTGTGTTATAGCCTGAATTTAAAATTGATACAATTCTGATTTGTTTGTCACTGACCTACACACAGTACCCCAGAATGTCAAAGTGGAATAATGTTTTTCGAAATGTTTACAAATTCATTCAAAATGAAAAGCTGAAATGTCTTGAGTCAATAAGTATTCAAATCCTTTCTTATGGCAAGCCTAAATAAGTTCACGAGTAAAAATTTGCTTAACAAGTCACATAAGTTGCATGGACTCACTGTGTGCAATAATAGCGTTTAACATAATGACTACCTCATCTCTGTACCCCACACCTACAATTATCTGTAAGGTCTCTCAGTCGAGCAGTGAATTTCAAACACAGATTCAACCACATTGGATGGATCCTGAGGATGGATCAACAACATTGCAGTTACTCCACAATACTAACCTAATTGACAGACTGAAAAGGAAGCCTGTAAAGAATAAACATGTCACAAAACATGCATCCTGATTGCAACAAGGCAATAAAGTAATACTGCAAAAAATGTGTCAAAGCAATTAACTTTTTGTCCTGAATACAAAGTGTTATGTTTGGGGCAAATCCAATACAACACATTACCGAGTACCACTCTCCATATTTTCAAGCATAGTGATGGCTTCATCATGTTATGGGTATGCTTGTAATCATTAAGGACTGGGGAGTTTCAGGATTAAAAAAAAGAAAATGGAATGGAGCTAAGCACAGGCCAAATCCTAGAGGAAAACCTACTTCAGTCTGCTTTCCATCAGACACTGGGAGATGAATTCACCTTTCAGCAGGACAATAACCTAAAACACAAGGCAAAATCTACACTGGAGTTGCTTACCAAGAAGACAGTGAATGTTCCTGAGTGGCCGAGTTACAGTTTTGACTTAAATCTGATTTTAAATCTATGGCAAGACTTTAAAATAGTTGTCTAGCAATGATCAACAACCAATTTGACAGAGTTTGAAGAATTTTGAAAATAATCAAAATGGGAAAAATCCAGGTGTGCAAAGCTCTTAGACTTACCCAGAAAGACTCACAGCTGTAATTGCTGCAAAGGGTCATTCTAACATGTATTGACTCAGGAGGTTGAATTCTTATGTAATCAAGATATATTGGTGTTTTATTTTTCATTATTTCTTTAAATAAAAAATATAAATTTTCTTCCAATTTGACAGAGTATTTTGTGTAAATCGTTCAATTTAATGCCACCTTGTAACACAACAAAATGTAGAAAAAGTAAAGGGGTGTGAATACTTTCTGAAGGCACTGTATTTGAAAGAGACACTTGATGTAGAAAATAGGTCAAAAAGTTATAGGCAGAGATTAATTGGGGAAACCTTGGTATAGGCCTGGTGAGTCAAAGTAGGAGTGCAATTAGCAGTATGTGTCGCTACTGGGATCAACAGAGCAGCAGGCCCAGGTTGTAACGCAGGCCTCTAGCAGGATCACCACTGTAAGGGTGTTCAGTTCATACAGCACTATTTAGCTGGCCCTGTTCTCCTGCTCAACTCTGTACTGCTAGTGAGCATTGAGCAGCTGTGACACCCAATGCCGTTTAAAGGGTAGCAGGCATGAGGGGTATTTTTAGTCAGCCGCCCTAAACCCCCTCTCTTGACTGGTGGAGTATCATGGTGCCCATAGCAACCCAGTTGTTCAGCAGGTAAACTGGAGGCCGACTTTCATGCCGTAGTCATGGAGATGGAGAAAGTGCAGCTAGATCATACCTGCTATGAAAATACTATGGTGGATCTGAACCATTGAGTCGCCTGGTCCAGTCACTCCCTCACAATAATAAAATAAGACAAAATTGAGTCCATTCAAGGAGTAGGAGACCCAGCTCTCTACATGAAGAACTCTACAAGTCAACTGAGATCAGTTCTCTTAAACAGAACAATTACAATAAGAACTAATATTTTTTATACAACGGGTGGGTCTAATCCTGAATGCTGATTGGTTAAAACGGCATTCCAGCTGGTGTCTATTTCACAAGTTACCACCGGCTAAATCTATTAAATTGAAATGCCTATTTACTCTGTTCCATCTGACTGCGCAATCCACTGTCTCATCAACCCTGCCAGGAAATGTATAAACTTGATCTCCACTATAAAAAGCATCTAGACATTATCTCCCATTTCTTTTAGACTAGCATTCGGTTTTCAACAGCAGAGATTTGTATAAACCTTGCCGTCTGTCTCTCCGAGCTTTCAATATTGAATTGCGATCTCCACCGTCCCATATAAAGTGGATGTGTCCGAACGAGACCGAGAGCAAATTGAGCTGGTTGTCATAGCAACATACAAAACTTTTTTCAGTTAACTGGCTAAATCGATACTTTGTTGCGAAAACAAAAATGGATGAGTGGACCATTTATTTTGATATTTTCGGCGGCATGACTATGGATGAATGGGAAAAAGAAATGGCAATAATACCCGGGCATGCAGATTTGTGGGATACTGCATTGAATGACCTAGAGAAAAGCCGCCACGAACAAACACAGCTAAGAATACAAACTGGGCTGTGCTTCGAGGGCTGGCTAGCAGAGAAGAAAAAAGTTGTTGACTTCAAAAAACTGTCACTAAGGAAGATTAACATCCTTCTCAGACAGTTTTATGGAAATGTATGAAATGGGAAGGGGGAACAGTATAGCATAAGTAGCTACCTGGCACTCCGCAGTGGGCTCAACCGGTTTCTAAATGACCCACCCATCGGTCGCAGCTGGTGCCTTATGAAGGACACTGAATTTACCACCTCGAATCATGTATTTCTGGGCAACATCAAACAGGTAAGAAGGCAAGGAAAATATATCACAAACAGCCCCCTCCCATCACCGATAAGGACATGGACCAGCTCAAAAACTCCCAGGCTCTGAATTCCGGTACACCAAGGGGCCTGGTCCAGAAAGTGTGGTTCGACCTCCAGTTACATCTGGGTCGAAAAGGAAAAGAGGGGAACAGACAACTAAAGCCCAACTCATTCCTCGTAAAAACTGACGAGAACGGTCTAAGGTATGTTGTTCATAGCCTGTTTGTGTTATTTCTAAGTTGCACTTGTAATTAGGCTACAAACAATATTATAACAACGAATTCTCTCTCTCAGATAAGCCACTCTCGCATATAACGAGGCCACAAATAATCATCTGGACCCAAGGGAGAGGGCCAGGGAGTCCAAGAGGGTATTCATGTTCGAGCAGCCAGGGATCCCACTTTACCCGGTGGCATCACTGGAGAAATATCTATCGAAATGCCCGGAGAAAACCTAGCATTTTATCTCCACGGAAGGAGAGGAGAGTATGGGGGACTCGATCTGGTACACGTCAGAGCCGATGGGCGTGAACTATCTGGCAGCACTTCTACCCAGGATCTGCAGGGCAGCGGGTACAACTACATACACAAATCACAGCATTAGGACCACGACAGTCCAGAAACTGGCCAATGCTGGTTTAGAAGCGAGGGAAATTGTCAGTGAGTGGGCATCGGTGCGAAGGTTCGCTCCATAGCTACTGGCGTCCCTCACTGATAGACAGAAAACGCTGGAGCAACATCCTGGCCGAAAACAAAGGGAACACTGCAGCACCAATCAACACCCAAAAGGCTGAAGCAAGGCAGCAGAAGTAGTAGCACAGACTCAGATATTTCAACCAATGCACCATCCAGGAGAATGTACAGATAAATGTGACATACAATAGGTAGCTATAGCTATGTCATCTGTGGTGGATAACAAAGAGAATGTATGGTTTCATTTATTAAAATCAGCTCAAATGAATGTCATGGATTGTCTTTCTTTTGTCTGAACAGTGTCCTGACAAGAGAGCACATTTTCTCTGCCAGGCAAAGTCGCTCATCATAAGCTGATTGTTATGGATGTATGCAAATAAATGTCACTAGAAAACAGCTTAAACAAATGCAGCTATATTCTGGCTGAACTTTTTGACGTAACTGTAAATTAGCTGTAGTTGGCAAGCAAGGGATAAGAACGTTGCCAGCCAGTATGGCGATGGAACATTTAGAACGAACGACTGGGTCGCGTCTATAGATACAGAACAAAAAGAACGAACGACTGGGTCGCGTCTCTAGCAACCTTAGATTTGTGTCGGGACTATATCTTGTGGAATGATGAAATAGTACGAATACATTTTTTGAATATGTGGGTAACCCGTTGTATAAAAGTGATAATGCCCTCGAAGCCGGTGTTTGTTGGATTTATTGGCATAGTTTGTCGGCCCTCGACGGACCCGTGCCAATAAAATCAAACAAACACCGTCTTCGATGGCATTATCACTTAAGTATATTTTCTCTAATTTTCCACCTTGGTGTACAAGTCAAAGTGCTAACTGAAGGTCTTGCCAGTTGAAGTTAGCTAAAGAGAGGAGAGTTTCAGCTTAACGAACAGCTGTCTACATTTGTCTTTTGCTGTGGACACACTGGACAAGCTCAACAGCCATGGGACCTTGTCTGTTACACAAGCATGCTACTAGCTACTACCTCAGCATATACAGCTGGCTACAACATTCAACAACAACAAAAAATCGGTTTGGTCACTAAGAAATGCAGCGGCCATGACTGAAGCCAAACGAGGGTTGTCTTTGTGTGGTTTCATGTGGGTGT